GAATCGGCTAAGGAGTCATCTAATCACACCATCTACTAGACACGTCCTTTTTATGATCTCAGGCCATGTCCGACTGGGAGGACAAATCCAGAAAGTTCTACAGGAACTAGATATCCCTTCTATGTATCCCTTTCCTAAGTCAGAAGCTGTGAATTTAGCTTTAAATGAAAACTAAATTCACAGTGTGACGTCTGACCCTCTGGATGCTGCACATCAGTTGTGTACAGAGTGTAATCTGAGACTAGGAGTATTAAAGCTGTTGAGTGAAGCTTTGTTTGACTCGTCCTGAAGGGTTCACTCCAGGATATCTCCTTCCACATGAGCTGAGGTGAAGGCTGCAAGCTGTGAGATCAGAGCGGTCTCCTGTGTTTGTGTTCCGGGTGGGTTTGTTTTCGGATCTGGGTGCTGGGATCCATCTGGGATCAGCTCTTAAAGCTGTTATCTCAACTGTGTGTGAGACTCTTACCATCTGATCCCATGTTATCTCTGAGGAAAACACAGCAAATAAGAAATGGGGCAGTTTTCCACAAAAGAGATGCAGCTTTAGTGTTGTATTATTTATGGAAGACCATACACAAAAAAAAAAAAAAAAAATAAAAAAGAACCAGCAACATAGAGGGAATTTGTCTGTTTGGAGGGTTTTACTGTTATATTCTTGATAACGTGGCAAGAAAAGCTGCTGTTTTTTTCTCTGTTTGGGAACCACAAGATTAGGAAACAGGTGTGTTTTGTTCCATCAGAGGCCTCACTGGGGAAACTGGGTAGAAGAGTTGGTACAAAAAAACACAAACATGCGAAGGTCTGAATTATCCATCAGCAGAGAAGAGCCGGTAATAGCTGAACAAAATTTAAAAAAAGGTATTAATGGGTGAAAGATAAGCACACAGAATCACAGAACAGATCTTCTAAGATGCAAAAACACAAAGACACAACATGTAGGGTAGAAAAATGCTGAACATGTGAAAAAATTGACTATGTAGGATGAAAAGGCACAAAGCTCCTAAACAAAAACCCAAACTAAGAAAGAAATGAATCACTAACTGTGACACAAATATTCCATCTGAATCTTTTTTTAGAAAAAAACAGGGAGAAACCTATTTTAAAACGTCTGTTAATTGTCATGATGTTAAATAACCCCTAAAAAATATCTTCAGTAGCACCAAGAAGCTGGAAGGAGTTAGGGAAAGCTTGGTGGAGGTAAAGTCAGAACAACCATCAAAGAAAGTCTGATGGAAGTTGGAGATGATCTGAGACTTGGGCGGAGGTTCATCTTCCAGCAAGAACCATCATCCAATTAGAGAGCTAATATGAGCACTGGTCAAAGTCAGGATCAAAATCCAAAGCGGAGAGGGTCATAGTCTCTCATTATGTTTGCTGAAGAACTGAAGCTGCAGCGGTATTTGCATCAGACATTTTAGACTCAGGCTGGCCAATGAAATCTGTACTACAGCCAAAATATATCTTAAAAACCTCTCATGTTCCTTCCACTAAATAAGTATCTGCTATTTTCTGAAGGTCATAAAACTGCTTTTTGTGTTATTAATGCAACTAATGCAACAGATCCTAATTTGGTGGTGGGAGAACAAAAGAGAGAACTTATTTGTATCCAAACCAGTTGTGTCACTTTCAAATTTCTTTCCATACAATCTTTTTTTTTTTTTTTTTACATTTTCTGAAGTACTATTTACCACAGATGTTTCTCCCTCATACCTCATCAAAAATAGTTAAGGCATTCTGAGCTATTTTCTATGTTTATGCTGCTATAGCCTTAGGCTGCTGGAGGACATGGGGACCATTTTTTCATCATTCTGCTTCATGCTTGCTTTACTCTAACATTCTGCAGTATTTCTTAGATCCATCCCTAAATTTATGTTCTCTCTGATTTTCGTAGCTTCAGGTCATTGATTCCATCCTGGAGAGAAATGTCAACTGGGCTGCGGCCATCAGCTTATAGAAGTTAGAGCTGGACCTGTTTTACAGTGTAGTCCTGTTTCTCTCCTAGACATAGCTATGAGCTCAGCTTCTACTGTGACTAACTGTATAGACTATCTTTCTTTGACATAAAAAAATGGCTGAGCTTGTCTGCTTAAGTGCTTCTTTCTTGGTCAGATCCACCTGCAGAACTAATTAACAGTTGCCTTTTCTATGTCTGCTTCTGTCGACTTGAACCCCAGCTGGTCTTGTCAGAAGGCTGCTCTCAGTGAGCCTGGTTGTTGGAGGTCTCTTCCTTTTACAAGGGAGTTTTTTTCTCTCCAAACTCGATGCATGAGTGCTCTAATTTATGAAGATTCAATAAAATAATGCAAGCGATTATTATCGTCACAACCTCATCAAAAAGGAGCATGTCCTACAAATGAATGGCTCAATGCAATTACCCAGGTTTCCTAAGTAGAAACTTTTTAACACTGATTGAATGATCTGATTGAATTTTCTCTGTAAAATGCATTGAGATCACTATTGTTGTGAATTGACACAAAATAAATAAACTAGTTGATGTTTCTTAGTCAGGCTATATGTATTAAATGAATGCATAAAAACAATCTAATTAAGTCACATGACACACAGCAGTATTTGTTGAGTCAGGTTATTAATCTTCCTGGTTCTTCATTTTTTGGGAAACAAAAAACAGGCAGCTGGTGTTTCAGCAGTCTTGTATTAATTCATGTTTGAATAAAAAAAATCTCTCAACACTTTGCTGCTTTATTAAACCCTTTGCTCTACATTCTGTGGGAACCAAACTGATAAGCAGAATAAATGTGGCAGTTTGGTATTTTCCCAACTAATCCTCTTTTTCTCCTTCCTCTGATCATATCGGAGCATGACAGAGGCTCTCACATGTTCCTGAAGCTCGGTCACATGTTGTCCAGCCTGTCCTCCTTCAGGTGCTTCTGTGAGGCATTCAGGTGCTCACTTGCTTCAGCAACGCAAGCAGCTTCTGAAACATTAAGGCTAAAAAGATTAACCCCAATACCTTCTTTATTTTATTATATAAAGAGAAATCTGTCCTATTTCTGTTGAAAAACTTTAAAACACTTTTGTTTTACTGTAAAAAAAAACCAAAAAACATTATCTCATATATTGTAAAAGGAAACAAACTATTTTTAGGTGCTATTTTAAATTTTTTTAAATACTAAATCCATTTCTTGGAAACGTTGTTGATTTGATAATATATTTAATAAGTGGCTTCACAACAATAAAAAAATTATACAGATATGTGTCAATAATGATTATGGGTAGAAAATCAGTGTAATACAGTTTTTTCCCCCTCAAATTTTAGTGAAAAAAACCTCCCTGAGCTTCTGCTGCAAAAATAGATTGGGTTCCTAACAGCTTCTGGATCATAAAAAATATAGAAGAGACGACACTGGGGTGTGGATTTAAACGTTTATTGGCCAATAAACTAATCCAGTATATCCATAAACCTTGATGATAACACCGTTTCTCTCACAGTAAAAACATCTCATATCAGTTTACAGATAAAACAAGTGTAAAGATGTTAAAACAGCGGAAATAACCTTTTTGTTCATTCAGGCTTCAAAAATATGGAACAGATGTCAGAAAAATCTGCTGGACTAGAGTCTGTTTGGAGCCGAAAATAACCACCATAGAGACCCTGAACATTCATGGAAGGGTTTTATATAGAAGCTAGATGAAGGTTCTATCCTAGGGAGATACAGGTAGGGAGTTTTACCTTCTTCAGCCACAGGTCCCAAACATTTTAACTTAAACAAAGTCAGGCCTTGCAAACCAATTTTAATGGACCTCAGATACCCTTCATACCACTAATTAATAACTGGCATCTCCTCCTTTTTATTTACAATATTTATATCCTAAAATGAAAGGAAGGGGTGAGCAATCGATTCATTCTCAAATACTTAAGTTGCTTCCCAATTTAAATAATATTTTCTTTGTTAGGAACATTGAAGTGACCCTGATAAATAGCTTGCTTTTATCATTACCATTTTAAAATCAACATCATATATACAGTGCTCTAGTTAAGGGGGGGATGAAGGGGGTGGCATCCCTTTCATAAAAAAATCTTTAATATAATCCCCCTTCTTTAATATCCATCCCCCCATACCATCCCCTGTGACATTTTATTACTGAATGTGTAAGATGTGTACTATATATAATATAGTAAAAATAATGGCAGTAATATCGCCCTTTCAAAATTTGGCTGGCTGTGGGCTTACGAGTAGCCTGACCAAAGAAAATAAAATTAAAGAAGTGTCCTACCATGACTATGAAGCTGATTACAGTGGAAAATTAGTCCCTAACTATGTAGGGGCAGTGATAGCCATGCCAGTCCAGGGAATGACTGCAATTCTACTGTAAGGTGCCTTGGTCAAGGTCAATGGCCGACGTACCTGACATGTAACAACCATACCATACGTAGAATATATGAATTTAGGCTATGTATGCTTCCAAAAAAAAAGAAAATGACACCATTCTTTTTTTCTCGCAACATTATATATATCAACATCCTTTCTCTGACATCCTAATACTTGGGCTTCAGTTTGTTGTGTGCCTGAATGTATGAAATATCCAAATCTAAAATAAAAGACCTTCATAATCATAATTAAGTTTTGAAATATTGCTTTTATTTAATCAGAGGATCGTTTAAGTGACTTTTTGCTGCTTGAGCTCAACAAGTTCAGATGCTGACTGAGTAGGCCTAATATAAAACATTCTTTTTCCTTTTGTAGGTTTCTTCCGCAGTCATAAAGGACGTCAGTGTTGGTTGACAGCGATGATTTGCAGCTCACACTCATACATCCTTTGAAGTGGGGGAGTCTCAGATTTCCGGCAGTCCGCGAAGGCGCCATAGAGCTCATTCATTGCTGAGCGAAGCGGACAGAACTCAGACACCTCGCCGCAACGAGACGCGTCTAGAAGGGCTTTAAAGTGATCCTTTCGTCCGCAGTAAGTGGATTTAATATATTTAAACCTCGTTTTAGTTGATTTTTAGGGCCTCTCGGAGCTGCCGCAGTCCTCTCCACCCGGCAGGCTGAGGATTCAGCGCTGCAGTTTCCGGGTTTTACCGCCTTTGTGCACACGGCACCGCACTAGACCGGTGCGGAGCGCACAAAACCAACGTGTTTCTGTTTACCTCCAGTGTTTGAACGGCTCTGGGGTGAAACACAGACACGCGTGGACGCTGAACTCGGTGTTTATCTCAGATTCATGGTCAGTTTTGACCAGCCGACCGAAGTCCGGACTGTGAGGCACCATGAGGCCTGATTCCGGGCCGCGGCCACCTGGAACATCCCCTCATTCAGCATCCACCGATGTAACTATGTTTTTATTCATAGTTTGTTGGTTAACTGTTAAACTACCGTTTATTTAAAACAATTATTTTATTTATAAACTCCGATTCTCTCTAATTATTAGTATTAATGACTGATTTCACTCTGAAATAATGTATTCAGTCTTTTTGGATTCCAAGCCGAACTCTGTTCTAAAAACCGAACATTTAAAGATATCTTTGTCATAGAGATGGAGGAAGCTGTACTTTTTCATCACGGTATTTATGAGAACCTGTACTTAAATTCGGCTCATCTTCCGCCAAACCATAGAGTCAGAATTTCTCCTGAGCTCGTCTGATCTGCATCGTCCATCTGTCTTCTCCACCAGATTAACTGATGCTCAGAGCTCCCTGCAATGGGATTTGAGGAATAAGTAGTTTTTATAGTAATCTGTATCTTTAATTACCCCGACATGTGGCTCTTATTGTGTGATTCGTTCAGTTTATAACCGTCAGATCTGCTACTGCTGTTATATCAGATTATAACAGCTTTTAATTCAAATAACTATGATTTATCAACACTAACACATTTCTCGAGTCTGCAGAATCCACTGCAGAAATATCCATAATGGGTAGAAATGGATGGAGCACAGCAGAAGCAAATATGTCCCCTTTGTTCTTAGTCAGTCCTGTTTCACTTCCTTCCTCTGAAAAATGTGCTTTTTAAAGGTTACAGGATGATCTTATTGGGGGATTTCTGGCTCTGATATATCTACACAGACTCAGTGACTCTGAAGAGGCTGATGCCCCCACTTCCTATATTTAGGAAATGTTAGAATAACTCAGCAGGTAGTTTCATCATGTGCATATTGTAGTTCAGCTCATCTGACTTGTTTTTCTGCAGAACCACTTTGGTTTGTACAGTCATCTAATAGCAGCCAATCCTGTTGTCTTTACCAATCTATGGTGGGTTTTCAATGTGATTCATTTAAACTGATCTCCTTAGAACATTTTTGTAATGGTAGATGCAAATTTTATGCATATTTTCTGCAACTTTTTGAGTAGTTTATTATTATTTTTCTTTCCTTTCCTCTGAGCCTTCTATTTCTCTTTGATTTAGACCAACTTCATCTTCTGAATGCAGATCTATTGTTCCACCCCATAACTGTGTATCGGGGTGGGATTTCATGAAGGGAGTCTGTTGTTATGACTTCCTGCAGTGACCTTTGGATAAGTTAACTTTGTTTTCCTTTCATTTTGCACAGCATGTGTTCAGGGACAGAGACTGAACTGAAACAAGGCAAACACAAATCTGTTCCCTGCGGTTAAATGATGCAGACTTGATGTTTTGTCTCAGCAGAGATGATGAAGGACCAGATGGGTGCAGCCATCCTGGCTGTGATGTTTTCCTTTGCACTGTGCTGCGTTTGGGCTGCTTCAGAATGCTCCCCGTCCACCACGGAGGCTCCCGGCGGCTCCCGCTCCCTGTCGGCTGCTATCGACACCCAGAGAGCGGAGGAGAGCAGGAGGCAACACCTGGAGGCGCTGTTCCAGAGGTGAGCAGGAAGGGTTGATAATGGGGAAAGAAGGCAAGAACAG